TGTTTTGACATTTGTCTGGTTGATAATTTTGTTGTTAATTGTAGTGTAACATGCCAACAATAAAACTTTTATTTATGTTATTTATTTATAAATGAAATTTATGTGCATTAATCACAGTTGGGAAAAGTTCAAGTATAAAATATTGCAAAACGAATAAATATTCAAAGAATGCGGCATACTTTTAGGCACAAAAGCTTATTGAATATAGGTGGAGCTCACAACATATTCCATGTAACTACTACAAGCTAATTGAATTTTCTATTCAAAATATTTTAATAATAATTTTATTAGACCTGATGATATGCTATCAGTGATTAAAAATTTGAAAAAGAAAAAGAAACGAAAACCTAAGGTAAAAGGTTTTAAAATTACGATTTAATACTACAAGTTTAAGCGAATGAAGTGCTACCCATTCAAGTAATCATATTTTTTTGTGTTAAATTATTATTTATGTGTCTAAATTACAAAAATTTATGAAAATAATCAAAATTTTATAATCCATTCACTCTACCTCGATATGGCCACCTTTAGTCTTCACTATGGCCATCAAACGGTTGAAAAATGTTTTACATGCTTTACGATTATGATCTTCCCATATTTTGGCTCATTCCTGAATAATGGTTTTCTTCAGCGCATCCATACTGGCATATTTTTTAGTCCCCACCTTGCTCTTCACCTCTCCAAAATGGCCCAAATAGAATAGTCCATCAGATTTGAGTCTGGCGAATTCGAAAGCCATTTTATGGACGAAATGAAGCGTGTAACATGATTTTCTAAATATTTTTCGTTCATATAAGCCGAGACCGAGACCGTTGCCGAGTCGTGTTGGAACGTCCATTATTATTATTATTATTATTATTATTATTATTATTATTATTATTAAAGAGTAGTCGTGAAGATTGCCCAACAGCCGGTACTGCGGCCAGAAGAGACCTATTGTACCAGAAACAACCGAAATTTTTGCGTGTTCAGCACTTTCCAAAATATTTTTTCAAAAATAAGTCGCATTGACTTTGACACCAGGTTCGATGAAAACGATTGGAGAGCGTTCACCCAATTGCCCAGACCATAACTTATGATCGAAAATTAGTTCGAGTAGCCATTCGTAGTCTCAAATTTTCGACAGTGCGTTCAGTTAAGTAAACACGATCATTTTGAAACGAAAGTAACAGCTCTTTTACTCTTTCGAGTCTAACTTATTGTTGTTTCGGTGTAACATTTTGTGCCTTTTGGAATTTGTAAGGATTTACCTTGAGCTCATTTTGGAATATGCGTTGGATGCTTTGCTGGAATGTTAATTTGGAACCCTTAAATAAGGCTTGGATTGGTTCTAAATATTGCTATATTTTCTATAAATTGTATCTCAGTACCTATGTTACACAATATAATGTATGCACCAGGCGGAGTAAATAAATGGTCACGAACTATTGTTATTAACCCAGACACAGGCTATTTTATCCTGTCTATACCCTGACTATTATGATGGTCATTATTAGTGATGTTATAACCACTGATGATGATGATGATGTCTATTGTTTTACAAATTAATTAAAAGCTTTAAAAAACTAATTGTTTTCTGTTGTTTTTATTTAATGAAAATAAATTTTTTTCGACGTTTGATTCCATCATTAAAAATTTTTCTTGTTTTGTGAGTAGTTGTTTAGTCGTTGTGAAGGCCTAACAGTTGCCTAGAGTAATATTTATTTAAATAGCCATCTTTATGTTAAATGAAACTCTATTTGTTTTTTTTTTTTCAATTAAATTCTTCAATTAGATTCTTCAATTAAATATTCCATTGAAGCATGCTTATGTGATCTGTTTTTTACTTTCTAAAGAAACCACCTGCTATTCTTATGAGCAACATTTTTCTAAAGACCAGTGGATATGCTTTCCTGATTCCTTTTTCACTTTAGGTTAGGACTTTTTCTATTTTCTATTTGTTACTTTTCATTTTATTGTAATTTACTGACCATGAAATGACTTACAAATAATCCCAAATAAACTCAATACCTATTGTCATTATATTCCTATTGAACATGTCCTTTACTGTAAATAACAAATGATTTGTTTTATTTCTCAGTTGTGCTCGTAAAAAAGGAATAAAAAAAATGAACTAACATTTTCATTGAATAGCATTCGAAGACAACAAATATGTGAGTAAGAATCAATGCACATCAAATAAAGTTAATATGCTCATTTATTTTAAAATGACGTTGGCTGTGACATGATGTCACATATACCAACTAAGTGAAGTAAAAACACCATTCCAATGCGTCGCCACTCCGACCAAGATATGAGCCAGCCAACTTACTAACTAAGCCAACTGAACATGGACAAATAATATAAATGAAGAACCAACATTGTCCGTGCCGTACTGTCGAGGTACGAAGTTATGGACAGACTTGCAGGAATACTTGCCGGAGTATAACAATCACCAATACGGTAAGCAATGCCTTCATGGGACATACTCATACGTACTAATAGAAAAATGTTGAGCATAGCACAAAAATTCTCATGTTATGTCAAAGTGGCACCATTGGCTATGTTACGAAAGCACACATAACACTTTTTTGCTTGCCTTTTTTCACCAACTATCGATTACTCAATAGCAACAATACCGTGCAGCGACAACAACAGCTCCAGCAGCTATAGCAGCCATACTAGAAGCAGGCAGCTGCAGCCACAGCTACAGCTACAGCAACAATCTGAAAAACAACTAGCAAAACAATAACAACATCAAAACAACAATGAACGTCATTCATCTTATCAGCATACGACGGCAGTATGTCGGCATAGCGATATGTGGCACGTTACACGATACGAAACGGAACGGAACGCCGTACTGTACAGGAAGCATTAAAGGAAACGAAAGGATGAAATAAAATTTAGTACAAAAAAAATGGAGGAGAAAAACACTCTGGCATACCTTGAGCAGCAATAAGGAAAATGCGAAACAATAAAGAAAAATTGAAAAATTGCGAATATTTCTGTTTGTGATTTGCTTGATTGAGGGTAGACAAGCACTGTGAACGATATGATGGCATTGCAGAAAACTAGGAAAAACGAAAATAATAGGAAAATCTAGAGAGGAGAAATAAGAAAAATGAAATTGTTGGACAAATCGTTTTAAGATGGAAACAGATTTCCTGTTTTTCCCCCTCCTCTAGTTGGAGTGTGAAAAGCAATTTGTGGAAATTTACGTGCTGCAATAATTGAAGCATAATTTAGTGGGTAAGCAATAAGAATGGGAATTATGGAAGCAAACAAGAATGAGGTTTGTTGACTTTGGAAAGCTCTAAGGTTTTTATAAAATAATTATGATACAAAAATTGAAAACTAATTACATATGATTCGCTTGATTAGAAAAATTTTACAGTTTAATTTAAGCAAATGGAATAGTTAATAAAATGAAATAGTACAAATAAGACTACGCATCACAAGTTCTGATTTTCACAAAATCAAACTAAATAGTTTCTGCAGTGTTTTATTCTCGAAGGACCAAGATATTCCAATCCAGCAATTTTGATGTTGAAGATACGTCATGTTTAGATGTTTAGTAAGGCCACTTAAACTCAACAAAAGGCATGAATAATCGCGTTCCCAAAGAGGCCTTAAGGCAGCCTACAATGAAACTGTGTCAATAATAAACAAAATTACCAAATTATTATAATTATTTCATACTGCATTACTAGCTTAAGGACTCAACAAAAGTTTTCCAACAATTTCTATTTCGTTAAACGATTTGCCAGTTTTATGAAGTACTGTTTTCTTGGGGTTATTTTAGGTCTGCCTCTGCCTCGTATTTCTTGAGGGTTTCAGGTAAGTGCATAAGGTCAACATAGAGTTCACGTAATATGTGTCCTATCTATCCACATTTTCGCTTTCGTATATCATCGTTCATATTTATTTGACCTGTGAATCTCCAAGAATTGCGATGCTTAGTTAAGAACTCTTGTATTCTATATTCATATAATATCATTTATTATAATAATTAATGCCTGTATTTGAGTGTTCAGAGTGCTTAGTGTCATTTAAATTGATGCCATCATGATTGAAGCAACAACCTTGGTGAAAGAGAGTTCCAATAAAATTTCTTTTTTTTTAAAATAATACGTGACGGTTGATTATATTTTTCGTGTAAAAATATTTAGATTAATTTTTCTAGATATGCCAGACTTAAATACTTTCCCAACAGAAGTCCAAATTTGAAACACCAAATAATGTTTTGTTTTTCAGTTGTCCACTGGCTACTTGCTACTGATATATCTATGACGATATATATATCATCGATAAATCTCAAGACCTTGTATATCATAACCGTGTTATGTGTTTCGTGTTAGAGCCCTAACGTGATATGGATTGCAGTGGAAGAAAATTTATTGTTTAGTATAAAGTGACAAGAATGAATTCTGATAGCTGCTAAAAACGATAAGACGTGAAGAATCCTATACAAAACTAGAGACGATGAAGTGAAAGAGCAGCTTCACGTGTACGAAAACGGTAAATAGGTACTGCTCTCAATAATAAATTGTTTGATTCGTGAAAGAATTAAATACGGTCATTTTAATAGGAAGCTCATATGCAAATTAAGATAATATAAAATCTGTAAGAAGTTAAGCACTACTTATTATAAAAATTTGACTGGACATGAACCATTATGTTCAGCGGTTAATATTAACAATAGTTGTCTTTTTGTTAGTGTTCTAAGGCCGTTGCGTTGAGGTTAATTCAATTTTCTATAGTAAAAGAATTTTGGAAAGTGCTCTGAAGCCGTGAAAAATCACATATATTATTATGTAGAGAGTGAACATTTCTATAATATTCTGACTTAATAAAAAAAAACATGCACCAATCACTAATAATTGAGAGATAATATGGCGTACTGTAACGCGACAGTGATGTCCATATTCATTAGATCACGTAATCCTGATCAATTTTTCACGAGACACATTTTCTATATCAAAACCAACATAAATGAGTAGTAGTGTGCATATACTTACCATATATGCTTTGATAATTAAAATAAAGGTTTCGAAGATCGCATAAAGCTTCCGAAAATCCCATGATCACCAGACTTAATTCCGATCAACTTTTCATTGAGTCCCATTCTATATGCCAAAGTCAATAAAGCCAATGTGCCAATGTTGATATGTGCCCAGGGAGCATTTTAATGATCAAAATTTAACAAATTTTCATGCACTTTGGTACTTTAAATAAATCTTCTAAAAGTTCGACGTACCGCATGCAATAAGTGTGTCCACCTTCGCACAGTGTGTCAAAATAGAAATTAGTCGATCAAAACTTTGTATTTTTTGAACCAGTACAGATACTGAAATGTGATTTTTTCTTAAATTAATTTTTGAGATGGCGTCAAAAGAATGAATCTCATTTTAAATTGGCCTATAGAAATCCAAACAAATTTGAACCCAAACGTGATTAATTTCACATTTCTTTTACTTTCCTCAAAATCCATGAAAGGTAAATCCATGAAATTTGGTACGCTGTATTATGACCGCCCAACTGGCATTATATTGTTGCGATGGATCAATTAGGTGATCATAGACACTATTAAGTAAAAATGCTTCAGACACTAACTGGCTTAACATTCAAACAAAGCAGAAGATTACAGATGGCAATAATAATGATTATAATAATATAATAATAGTTAAACTATTCTGCTATAAGCAGCTTATTCGTCCTCTCCTTACTTATGCTTTCCCTATTTGGTCTGCCATTACTTCTGCTCAGATAGAAAGAGTCCGCCTGTTTGAGCGGAAACTTCTCCGTGATTGCATCAACTATAAGCGCAAGCCTAATGGCAAGCACTTCTCTATCTCCACTCTGTATGACAATGCCAAGATCACTCGTATTGGTGAGTACCTTTTGACACTCACCCTTAGGTATCTCACCCGGCTCCACGACCTCCTTCCTGATGTCTCTTGTCCAGATATCCTCCCAGTAGACTTTGTTTTAGCTTTACGTTTCAAACCTCCACAGTACCTTCTCCACTATTTTGATGAGCTTGACCAAAATCCTCTCGCTATTCCCCTCTTTAAGCGCGGCTTTCGTGACCCTGGTCACAAAGTATATCACTAGTCTCACCCCCGCTAACTAGCCGTAACTCCACTATCTTCATTATTATCCTTTCTTCTTAATTCATGCCCTTGCTTTCTGACTTAGATGAACCTAGTTCACTAGGTATTAAATCTATCTACTTTCTCTCTCCCCTGATTACTGGAATGAAGTTTCCACAAGTTCCCACAGTGTGAATCTTCTCCATTCATTCCTAAGAGCTGGTTTTAGTGGGTTCAAGTCTCACACTGTGGCTTTCGATGCTTACCACCTATTGCAAAAAAAAAATGTCCTTAGAACTTTATATTTTCAGCATTTACATATTTTGGTAGTAGAAAATATACTGCAGACTACTTTTTTTTATGCAATAGACTATATCTTTTTTTTGTTTGTTTCTTTTTATATATTTATTTCTTAAAAACAATTCTAAAAGTCTAATAATATCTAGTGTATTTTTTGATTTCCTGTCCAAATTAAGCATTTAAAAAAACAAAAAACCAAAAACCTACTAATTAATATTACGATTATTCCAGATTATTACCTAAACTAATTTTATTAGTTGTTTTTGTTTTTGTACTTAGGATGATTGTTTCCTTTTATTGAAGTCTGTGAAGGATATATTTATTTTAATCCTCTTAACAAGAAACCAGTAGCACTAATGAACTGAAATAACTCAATAAGGAATTTACTAAATGATAAAAACTGTAATCATTTTGTCAAATTAAACACCTTCATCCATCACAATTTAACAAATAAATCAACTCTTATCTGCCTTAATGACAACTGACAGTTGCTCTAACCACACTTTTAATATTTTATTGCCAACAAGATGAACGACCAATCATCCAATCAAGCATAGCACCAACCAACCAACCAACCAAATGAATACGCAAACAAATGATATACGCAACGCCCATTACAACAACAATTACGACTAATACGAGGACAGGAGCCGGGGCAGAAAAATGTAACGAAAACATTCTTCTTCATTTCTGATGGCTAAATTCCTATTAATAAAACCGTTAAGGTGTTTTGGCCGCTCGTATAATTGATGAAGGCGGCTCGCCGTGTCCGTTACTGTTGCTGACGTTTTTGCTGAAAGCGTGGCTGAGAGCAGTACATTTAAAAAGAACCCAAGATATTTGTATATTTTCCAAAGATATTTTTACTTTGGGCTTACTTTATGCAAGAAACTAAACTTTGCCTAGACGCCTAATTTAATTACTCACTCACACGACTAACTCCTGCAAATACTCCTCAGAAAAAAGAAATTTGTATCCTTTGATTTAGTATGGCACTGCGTCACTTGCATTCACATAACTAACTCAGCTTAAGCCGTGACGTTGTGCGGCATGATAACGAAAAGTGATTAAAGTCCAACTAACGTATCTGCGCTTGTTTTTATTAATTGAAATTAAGCTGAAAGGAGCAAGAAAAAATTCATTCCACCAGAGTCGTCCTATTGCCTAAGCGGTGGGATGGGTTTTGTGTGGGAACTGCTGAGCTGCGACGGAAGTCTTGTATGCAGCCAGCACACCACGGCACGGCACGGGAACGAAAATAAATTGTATCCTATTCCGAGGTGGTACAACAAATTGTATGTTGCTGTGGCGATTATGTTCATTTATATAAATCGTTGATAATTTTTCAAAATTAAAGAAGTTTTTTATTCTACTTTAACATCTACATCTACATCTACTTCTCATGTTCTTTATTCCTTCTTTGATTCTCCTTTGTTTCTACGGGCACCTTATTTCGGAACGTACGAAACGAAAAATATATAAAGTGGGCACGAGCATATGGCTTGCTTTATCTGGGCAGTGCGGCAAATAATGAGTGCCAATTTTATGGAAATATCCTAATGGTTCAAGCCCTTGATAAAGTGAATAAGTTTTAATATTCAATGTTTTATCACGTACACGGCAATTTTGTGCGCCCACCGTCAGGTATTTAAATTGATATATACGGCGTTATTAAAAATAATAAAACAAAATTTCGGAAATTGCATTACAAACTTCCGGTATTTGGTTACACTGAGCCCACTAATAGATCCAACGCGCTTTCACATTGTTCTACACACAATGCCCGCATATAATTAAGTGCGCAAATAGAAATTTTAAATATGCTGTCACGTATATTAAACTTTAAATGATAATAATTATTATAAATTGTTTTGTGCTAATTTAATGTACTTGTCCAAAAACATTTATCAACTTTTACACCTCTTTAATATATATATTATAAGTTGAAATTCAAAAAAATACACCTCAATATACATGTAAGTGCAGACCAATATAGAATTATAAGCAGGGTTTTGGCGATATGTACCCGGCTCCTTACAAATTTGAAGAAAATTTTGGAAAATTATGGAAGATGCAACAGTATGTGATATTTTAAATAAAAAACTCATACAAAATCCATACAATAATGTGATAACGAGGTTCGTTCTCATGCGCATATATCCATGTTTCTTCCCCTGTCACC